GCCTCAAAGACCCCAGTCATTCTAAATTCAAAACCAGCCCTCTAACCATTTCACCATCGCTCCAAGACTGTGATTACTGTTAACACAACAGACGTATTTCCCACCTATTCCTCAGTGGGGCAAAAGCAAAGGTGAAACCATAGTCATAAGTTACTCGATAAACCCCAATGCCAACTCGGAAAGGCAGATCCGAAACCAGTCTCCAAGATAGGCCTATGAACCAAGTCGCACCACTAGTGGTCCCCTCGATCTAGGGTCCCTTCAAGTGTCAGCTTGACTGCAAACTAAAGACAAATATCCAAGATCCAGAATCCAAGAATCCAAAATTCAAAAAACGAGGCAGAATGAGCGTACGGGCAACGCGTCTCCTTCAATTTCTTTGGCTATTTGTTACAAAAAACTGCTCTGAAAAAATGAGGCATCCAGAAAGAAATTTGGAATTGAAGGCACAGCTCATGCCGAAAAGGGTTTCTGAAATTCCCACCTCTGATAAACCGTGAACTTGAATGCCTAAGGGACACTGTCAGGTCGAGAAATTGCCAAGATAAGATCTGATAATGATCATAAAACCAGCTTAGCCGTATACACACACAAGGCAGACCTTAAGCGTAATGAACGCTGCAGAGCAAAAAAGCTTGCGCCATTCGCACCGGGACCCACACCTTGCACGCAGGCATTCATCGCAGCAAACAGTATGCAATGGCGCGCAATCCGAACAGCTCGCCCAAATACCCCTTCCCTGGAACTTTTGTCGTCACATTATTGTTCCACTTCGGAATTTACTTCTTTTTTGAAGTCTTATTTTTATCTAAACGCCGATTTTCACATTCTCTTCGCCACTCACTACTCTGGACTAGCACCCACCTCCACTAGACGTCCGAAATAAGACAACCCCAAAAAATATCGTGAACTGTGCCTCCAACGATTAAAAGCGAGGAACGCTACCAAGTACGCTCAATATATAAGATCATTTGTACAGATGTTCGTGAAAAAGCAGCTTCCCAGAAATGGAGAGCTTTGAACGAGGACCTTTTGCCACTGAAGAAGGAACTTCTTGCTTTGTTCGTATCCCGCTGCATTTCGTCCAGACAACAGTGATGTGGACCAGTCGTCATCGAAGGACCGTTTGACTGAAATCAAAAAGGTTTTTCTGTGAATCATGGACGATATTAGTGTGAGAAATGAAACACAAAAAAATCAAAAACAGTGGTCAAGTATGCTTTTTGATGAGACTATGGAAGCAATACAGCCACGGACAACCAGCAGAATTTACATTTCTCTGATTTCTATGCAGGCATAGGAAATTTTTGGAGAAAAGAAGAAATAGATAAGGTTGTCATGAGAAACAGTTGCACCAAAACTACTCAGTTACTGGTCCGCGCATCCGCAGTGTTTATTGAAAAAGATTTGCTCTCAATCCAAAATCAGTTCAGATTTCTACACTGACAACACTTGCACGAAGATGGATGGCAAGGAAGCCAACGAGGACGGAAACTATGTCTTAAGCTTTTAATTGAAGCAGAAATGTATGCCGTTTAGATAACAAACATCACTGACGAAGAGCAAAGGTCCATGCACAGCCATGGGCCAGGTGGCTGCAATCAATCAATCACGTAGCCTATTATTGGAGTCCGATTGAGCTCAGATTCACACTATTCTACATGGTGATGGAAGTACTCAGTTTTGCATATCTACACCTTACCAAAAGGTAGGCCCACATGATGTTATGAGTACACTGTGAAGCACCTCATTCGAGAGTGAGAGAGACGGACATAAATGACATCTCCCAATCTCATAAACTGACCCTAAACTTTGCGCTCAGAGAAGAGGAAATTGACTAACAAAAAACCAGTTATTTTGTGTGTTCAGTGGCTCGTACTCAATCTCCCTAATTCCCTCTTTTTATTCCGATTAACATTCACACCTTCCACTTTTTCTAGTAACCATCCCGGTAGAAAGAGGTGGGGAAGTGAACTCGGGCAGCGCCATATGGTATCCCTTCGACAATTATTTTTAAACTTACAAATATATCCTGGATCGGAGCTTACGTCATAGACACAGACCTTCAACTACTTGAGGTACAACTTGATCTCGACCCGTGACCCATCAATCAAAGTCTGTGACTTTGCATTGAATGTAAAAGACATCGTAATCCTTTGAATGAGAGAATCAGGGGTCCCGTTAAAGGCGACAACCCGTATCAAGGAAGTTGCTACGCTTGATGGAAAAAATATCTCCTGTCTCTCGATCAGTTTTTTACTTTTTTCCCTAAGATTTACTTAATTCATGCATCTTCCGAATTCTGATCCGATATGAATTAGAAGGTCAAAGCCCCAAATATATATGATGAACCACTACAAGGCTCGCCTACCCAACAATCAAAACGGGCATCGTCAGCCCCCGTGGATGGGTCATGGTGTAACGGATGGAGCAGTTTTGATGCTTTGACTATTCTTTTTTGACGTTCCGAAACTACCACCACACATCTGCCTGATGGATCCAAGAACTATTCAGATGATTTGGTAAAAATGTGACTTTGGCAAGTTGCCAGTTCTAGAAATTCGAGTACGAGAATAAAGGAGAAAGCATCAAGACTGCTCCATCCGTTACACCATTAGGAGTCTGGAGAAATGGAAGACAGATATAAATCCTGCAAAGGAAATGCTTTCTGAAATTCAGCTATAGGTAAAAAAATCTAGATGAACCACTTACACAGACGAGGAACGTACCCAATCTAATGTCATTATCGCTATGGAGTTGGTATCATTCTTATACTGAACGTCACTTCGCTTCACATTAGTTCTACCTATGCAATCTCTCAGCTTTTGCAGATTTTTCTGAGGGGGGGGGGGGGGNGCTCGTACCTCAATTCCATGCAGATAGCTTTCCAGCGTAGTCGAGAAGGCCGCTTGGATGAACTGCCTAGATGAGACAGGAATTTTCCCACATCTCACGAGGCCAACTAAATCTACATGTCCATCTGCGGCATTTTGCCAAGTTCCGCAAACATTCGCTTTGGGACCTCCATGTTTCGGCGTGAATGAAACCTGATATTTAGGGGCATTCACTCTTACCTCAGCTAGGTTCTTGTGGATCAATATGAAGCTCTTCAGTTCATTACCTCCTATTGCCCTGACCTTACGCCAATGATGCTGAAGAGTCTTCAAAAGTCGTGTGGTCTTCCAACGACTCCCACTTTTACTTCGCCTCAACACGTTACATAAATCCTACAATAGGAGCACAGCACCAGCTTACTTCTATTGAAAGATACTAAAGATAAATGGGAAAATAATCAAGCTCTAGCTGTCACCAGCTGCATTTTCTTGGTAACTCAAGTCGCAGCCTATAATCGATGCGGTTCACTCTGCTCCCTTCTTCCATGTTTTTACATTTACACGCCTCCGAGAAAAAAGGCCAACAATTAACCATGTGAAAAGGAAGCTCTTGAAAAGCATCTCATAAAAAATAGCGTACAGGATGTTAACAAAGGTCCAGACACCTTCTTGGACCACTGCGCGACGTTTGAAAGACGTTTCAGTCCAGCGCATAACACTACTTTAGTAACTGTAATTAACGGCCGCCTCTCTTTTTTTCTTCATATCCACAATAAAATCAAACTCCCACTTCACAATCCGGCTACATGCTGATCGAAATTGTGCCAGCAGAGGTCCCACAGCGAATTTTAGCAAAATTGGCCGAAATGCCACTTACGGACATGTAAATTTAATCTGCTTCCACATCCAACCGCCTTTCGTGCCCAAAGATCTGAAAGATTAGCGAATAAGCAGCCGAACATCCTCGATACGAAGTCGATGAGTGCGAGGTAGAGCGAATAACAGAATCGTAGAAGATACACGAAAAAGTAAGTAAATGAACATGAATTCAATTGCAATGGCTTGAAAGTTAGAAGTCCCATTTGAGCGTGGGACAACAAGCATAACACATCCGCAAAAAAGTGTTAATAGAGAAAAATCACAACCCATTCTATCCCACTGAAAGGAAATCACGTCGAAAAATCTGCATAGATTTTCCACAATCCCTTCCAATCCTTCCTACGACCACAACGAAATTGTAAAAAAGTATCAACAATCCACACAATTCAAATACAACCCCTCCAAGTCACGACGATTACAGAATCGTCGAATTCTGTGAATGTGAAGTAGATTCAAATCCGAGAGTCCCAGGAATACGAACGGACCAGGGAACAATTCGAAAAATCAATTAAAAATCAATTTAGGAAACAACAAGTTGGGAGCAATGCAGCGCGACTACTACGGTTTCGATTCCGCCCAGGTCCCGTCATCGCGCCTTTAATTGCCAGCCGTAGAAATGGAGCGCGTCTGTCGACACTCCGAGATCGGTAGTTACCCACAACTTCTATTTGTAATCCCCTTCCCAGATTCTAATAACCCAGATCGCTACGACGATGATGAAAGAGCTTTATTGAATATCAATTCGGGGAGTTACGTTCAGATTAGCCACATAGAGGAGCCAGCACTCGCGAAAACCCACAACATCACGCACACGCCCACACTCCTGGAAGGTAAAACTACCCACTATTTCAATTACTACTCCGCCCCACAGCCAATTTGTATACGCTCACATCCACAGCTAGCAAACACGCTCATCTAAGAGAATCATGAAAGTCAAGAATAGGAATATAGCAATGACACACATTAGGACAAGAAAAGACAAAAACGTACAAAAAAAAAAACAAAACGAGAACTGTTTCACACCAATCTCTTAGAATAACCGGGATTGATACCCATACTTGGGGAACATGGAAGAGAAACAATCGAAAAATACTTTATTCACCAGCTTGGAAATGGGAATGTACAGTAACCCGTGACTACATGACTAAAAGTCAACAAACTTTTTAGAGGATCCATCTTAGAGATCCTTGGGTAAATCTGCTAAACAAAGTTCACTGACTAGCAAATAGGATTACATTTCGCTGCCAAACAATGGAAAATCATTTGACTTGCGAGATCTTCGTAGATTTAGTGGGAATTTTTCGTTTCTGGAAGAAATGTTGTGATAAATGCACAAAGTGCACTCAGAGCCGCAAACGTAGCAAACATCAGCCCACTGAATATGCTATCCTGAAAATTGCACGTTTTTGAAATCCTGGTCCAGCTAGCAGATGAAACTCCGTTCATATTACCGTAAGAAGTTGCGCAAGAAAGGCTCGAAAAATCTAAACTGAGGTCCAACATCTAGACTGGTAGTAAGGAACTTCGTTACAGCCGACTGCCTTCGATTCCAGTTCCTCTCTTCTGCCCCTTACTTGTATTGGTTACGGGAAGAGCAACCGGAAGCCTACCACTAACTACGATCTCGCCCTCTCATAAAAGCGAGGATACAACACTCCCTCTCTCCGAGGAACCTCTGTTGAGAACCTTTCAGCAGAGTTGAATCTGATCGGGTTCCTAAACGCATCTTCTTGCTCTCGCCCAGCTCCTGCTTCGGGAAAAGCAACACGACAAGGAAAAAGGCAGATAGGAAGGTTTAGGATAGCCAAGGCCCTTGAGCAGAAAGCCAGATTTGTAGCAGATCGAAACTCAAGACACCCATCGATTCCCATTTGAGCTGTATAGTTTACCTGGCTGGGAGAGGGGTCAGAAAAGTTTGACAAACTGCGTGAAGATCAACCTAATGACAGAGGATACCCAACACTACCCCCTTTCTCATAGCCCTTTGCGCTTCCCACATTTGGACCGATTTTTCAAGGTGGTAAAATAAAAAACCGAACTGACCAGAATATTGCAATGAGGGGACATCATCGCACCAATGTTACTCAGTGTGGCACAGAAACCCAGACAAATATTTCGATACTGCACAGGGAAAATCTCAGCACCATACACAAAACAACACATAAATGCACTGGCCATTCCAAATTTGGCTACAAGCCAAATACAGAGATAAATTGTTGGATAGGAATCTGGAATTTCATTGAAGAATAGAAGTGGGGGAGACAAGCCGGTAGCTGTTGTCAGTACAATAGTGTAAATCAATTTTCTGGGATTCACCTGGATTTAAGAAGCACATAATCAGCAGTGAAGCAGAAGAGAGCAGATGGCTGATGATTACTGTTGGCCTTCTCCCCAGTCTAAACGACGAATACGATTGATCCCGGTACACGTCTTGGACATGGGTTTGGAGCAGTATCAACAGCGCTGCAAGCACACGAGCGGCTAGCTAACTGAATCCCGTTTGTGTCGTTGAATACTCATGACCCCTCAAGTACAGTAACTGGTACCAGAACCTCCATTAAAATGTCTTGTTCCAGAAACGTTTCGATCAGTGCTAGGCTTCTAAACAGGAACCCAAAGACGCTTTTAAACCAAGTCTACCATTTATGCTTGATAAAGACACAACAAAGACCCCTAATGAATGTACTTTTGCGCAGAGCTTCTCCCAGCCATGCCTATTACATTCCCTCGAACTTACCGATCAAGTGCAACAGGCATTATGAAGTAGCAGGGGAGCTCCACAAGACCAGAAAACAAAAAGGACTTATCAGCACTGCCTTTTATAACCTGAAATGAAGCGAACGTTAAAAAACGGTCTTTTGGTGAAGCCTCAAAAATGAGCTCATCAGGTTACATCAGTCGCCGTTAGTGAAAGCGAATTGTAAACCATGAAATCAACGACCCTGTAAAAAGATCGATTTGCGAAAAGCGCCGAGATGACTACTAGGCAATAAAAAACGAAAATAAAAGAAGATTAGGATAATAATGTACGATAAATAAAGCAGAAAAGTAAAAAATGAGCAAAAAAGATGCTATTTCAACAGTTAGTTCAATGAGATCAAACTTTAACGTTACATAAACATAAAAGCCTTACCAGAGGACCGTCTGAATGCCCATATATAAAACGAGTTTCGGACTATGGAAGACATGATCTGGAACGCAGCTAAAGTATCAACATTTACAGTATGAACATTACAGTAAAAACGCACCCAACAAGCTCACCTTGACCCTGTACTCACGGAGAACTGCCAAGGTAACAATTAGAAATCGAAAAAAGTGAGCTTTAGGTTATATTTCTGGTATAGAAGCCATCATGCGCTTAGTGAACAGGTAAGGTAGGTTCCAAAATATTTTCCATGTGAGCAATCAGGTTTCGAATGCGACCTCACCATCGCTTTTCTTTCCTACTCATCTTCCCATTAATTGAGATGGTAGTCAAGAATGAACCGAAAAACAGAATATTGCCAGAAATGCGTGGTCACTTAACTTCGACTCCACCGGAAGCTCGGACATGGGGAGTTTGTTGCGTAACTCGTATACTAGGAGTCTAGTTATGGACGAATTTTTGTACGTAGCAATGTCACTGCTTCTCAGAACCATTTTACCACAACATATTCTTCGGAAACTCTTAGATCCAGCCTGAAGATCTCGAATGATCTCAAGAACAGTGAAGCTCGTGATGCGTAAAGCGAATGCTCCTCGAGATTATTGCAGATAAATGAGTAAATTCAATATCATCACGATCTGACAACCTCTTGGCGATGTTTACCAACATGCTTTTCCGCCTCCAACAAAATACAACAGTTTTCCGGACTAGGGAGAGCCAGCACAGCAAAGCCTCTTCATGGCAGGGAGGGATTAGGCAGAAATGAAAGGGTCAATTGATTTGAAACGATGAGGGATCAGCTGTTACCGTGAATTATCAAGTATTTTTTTTGCAATTCTTTCAAGTTCGATGTGACCAAGAGTAATCTTTCCAAACAGCTGATCAACCTATCGATCAGACCGTTCTCCAAAAATCGATCTGTCAATGCGACAACATGACAATCCATTGCTATCTTTCCGCTTTAGGCAGACTACATCCTATTAACTGAAAATGACTTACGTAGGCTTTCTTTCAAATTCTTCTCTTCTGGGACTCTGGCTGTTTCATTTTCGATAGTCTTCTGGACGTCGCATTCAAATTCGCTTCCACCCCATCGACTCGCCCGGTTGATCCACTTTTTGGCTTCCACTGCTCTCTTCTTGGTGATTAGAAATCCTAAGCTCTCAGGGAGCAGTCTGAAATAAGGAATAGTATTGACTGCCAGAAAGTACCCTCAGACCCTCAGCAAGAGAGGACAAATTACCTGACATTTTTTAGGGTTCGAAGTTTTTAACCAGAACCCTTATAGATGCAAATTGGAGCTTTAGTTAAGAAATTATTTACAGGGGACTACCACAATTCAAAGAACCGGTGGGAGTTTGCACCTTCTCCCAACTTTCTTCAACTGTTCGCTACAGAAACAGGACCACAATGGGACCTGGATTATGACTGGCTCTTTTTATAGTCCACGATTTGGTCCACGACTGGTCGCGCGATGGGTCGCGGGCCAAATCGTGGACTATGAAAGTAGCCACTACTTTTTTACATTGATATTTGATGAGCGAACCAGAAGACGTCTCCATAAGTATCGGTTCTACCTACTGTACCATAAATGCCATCGAACAGAAAGGGAAGAACCCACATAAGCATGACTACACCGAATAACAATGTTGGAAATGATGTGACGAACTGAACAGCACGCCATGATTGAAAAGTTAGCGCTATAGGAGTGATCAAACAGTAGCCTAAAAGAAAACAATTTGGATAATTTTCTGAAAATTCAACAAACTTTAAATTTAAATGTGCAAGTAAAAAAAGTACGGAAACAGCACCTGCCACCCAGAACACACCAAATAATACAGATGCATACGAATGACCCTTGAATGCGATGGATTCACAACACATCACCCAGTTAATCATAGTGATTGACTGAAATATGTTTTAAAATTTGAGGCACACACTTGCCTGAAATTGGCCATGGTCCGACTGCACACAATCGAACCATGGCGAAACTAATTCCTTCAGCATCTGGCATAGTCGGTTGTTCGTGTTCGTGAAAAATTCCAAAAAAAAAAACTAAAAAAAACTACTTACATTGAAGAAGGATCCTTGTATAAATCGACCCAATAACATCAAATACAAATTAGAAGCAAAGGCAGCTAGAACTCCAGCCAATCCGGACACCAGCAAGCTCCACACCAGCACGGGACGACGGCCAATGCTTAAAAAATCTCAAACGTTCAGCGGAAATGCAAAAAAACTGAAAGCAAAGCTCACCGATCAGCTGCCATGCAATATATTTGACCCAGTACGAGATTTCCAAGAAAATACACCGATGACGTCAATTCAGCAGGGTCGAGAATGGCTCGTCCCAGGTGAAACTGAACAGGGAAGCTATCAGGTTGTTTCGCAAATGTCTTTGAACCTGTGAGGAAACCAAAAAACTTCGAAACCCATAAAACTTGCCATGCGATTCAACATCTACACCGGCAAATCGGCATTCTTAGCTAATCATTGAAATCGATCGCTTATTTTCAAGCGAATCGACCATTCAACAAAAAGCCCTCTTACTTTTCATAGGTATTCATCACACTCACCCGGACAGAGGTAGCCCATTTGTTTGTATCGTAGGAGTGGGTTTTTCACGAGAAGGTAAACTACAATAGTTCTTCTAAAAAGTGCTTCAAAGAATTTCGAAGTTCCCTGCAATTTGTGGATTACTTTCCTTTCCTTTCCTTTTCAATTGCTTTCCTTTTCCCTGGCGACCCACGTGCAAACCACCAAAGTACAACGTTCTTGGATCCCCTTGGCCATGTGCTAGTCGGTTCGGGTGGTTTCCCGCCCAATTTCGTCAGTAAATGAACAATCCGAAAATCGACTTTCACTAGTAATAAATTCTCGGATAATTTCTTTGATTGGAGGAATGATTCATGCATTGCTCTTGGAAACTGAACGCGTGGAACATTCCCTGACCACATACAGTTCCAGGCGAACTGAACACACGTTTTTTCGTTAACGCATCATCAAGTACTGTAAACTCTCGCATAACTACATATGAATAAGCTGAAACAGGGAAAATCCAAATGGAGAAATTTCTATCGAAAAATCAACTAGGAAAATGGGCAGGGATAAAAGTCAATCGAGAACAAGCCAGAATTCCTGTATAAAAGCCGGTCGCTATGAATATTAAATGTTTTTTTGAACCACACCGACTTAATTTTCTTCCCAAATTGTTATAAATTCTGTCATAAGGGAGACAGAACAGCTCCAAGAACAGATTGGGCAGTTCCTTATTAGACCTTCTTACCCTAACTGAGCTAGACGGAGCCATACTCGTTCAGATTAACAAAATCATCAATTGAAATCGTGACTGAAGTCAGCCGATGCTTCCCGATTATTCGAAGGCTCGAGTTTTATCAATAATCGTTCGCTGAAAATTCTTTCACAAATGCATAGCACGTTTCGTGCCGAATGGCGCGTTACCATGCATATGCTCCGGGATCGAATTCCAGAACAATGGCCGTTCGAGGGAGTCAAATCTCTGATACCTTCAGGATTAGTTGATTAGTACCAGACGCATCAGTGAGTGTAACAGCAGTGACTGATGTTGCTGCAAGTCATGTATAGACCATACACGCGTACAAACACTACTAGGATTCTAACTGAAAGTCAAGTGCGTGGGCACATCCCAAAACAGGATTGATCAACGTCACGCGAAGCCTACTATTTGCTCTTCTAATGTCTTTACAGAGTTTCAACACAAGAAAAACTTTTTCTCCATGATAAAGTCTTAGTTGACCTTATCAGCACATGTGTTGAGCTGGTGAAAAGGCCAGCTCATTGTCGAAGCGACCGGACAGAGTTATAATCAAACATGGTACCATATTGTAGGTTCCGGAGGCTGAAATGTTCGATTCACTGTGTTCATGTCCTCTCAGTCAGATATGCCAACTACCAGCCGATCTTGGAGGAGTGGAAAACCTGCTGGCTTGAACAGTTTCGAACTTTGAAAGGGCTCATTGTAGATTACGCTGATTTCGATGAAAACTAGTAGTGATCACAAAAACCATAATCTTGTAAAGCTAACAGTATTGGAACTAAATCGATGAGGACCATTTTACAGTACCTCTTCCTGGACAGTGATGAAAGTGCAGTTGGAGTCGCATGGCGTTGGTGGTGCCATATAAGCAGGTGACATTGTTGGCATAGCTGATAAACACCAAAGGAAAGCCATCGAGACCATGACAAAGATTGAGTGCGGATTAAGTCTGGAAAGACATCACGTGGGGAGGAATCCCGCATCGCCGAATCTGGTAGACTCACAGTCCAATTTCAGAAAGAATTTCGTCCGTTGTAGTGAGATGAAGCGCTTTGAGGGGCTTGTCATTGTTATAGTTCTGTTCAGCATCGCCGTTTGCAATTATCTAGAATAATTATAGAATTCGTTCTTCTCATGAAGTATTACCAGAAACTACTAATCAGTTGCGCCATGCTTTCAATGGTTTCACTGGAAATTCCAATGAAGATGGCTTCCCCTGCAAGCTTTGAACACTTCTATTTGCTACGCATAGGAGCCAATCGCTCGAGGCTACAGATCTCTCGGACTTTTGAGCTGATAAGGCACCCGAAAGGAGTGAGCGATGTTTTCAGGTATCTCAAAATAAAAGAAACTAAAAAAGACGCAAAAGTGTAATCATTGAAACAACAACTAGTACAAAAACAGCTTCCCCGAGGATTTTTCTCCAAGAAAAACTGCAGTAATTTTGGTAAATGCAAGTGATTTATTCCAACCAGGTACCTTTTGTGCCATGCCAACTTTGGCCGAGGTAGCGATGAGCCGTTTTCCCTCCTCTTCTAATCTGAAATACTTGATTATAAGGTTGAGAGGTGAAAAAGACTTTGAATCCTTAACAGATTCGGCTCCACTGATAGCAATTGCACCGATGATAGCACTTGATCCGCAGTAGATGTCTCTGATCGGTGGCCTCCGAAAACTTGATTACGTCTTTCAGCTTTTCATTAGTACACGCGCGTTTATTTTACTTCGTCAGCTGATTGCCAGAGTTCATGTTATTTTGCAGTTTTCCAAACATTATTCCTAAGCAAGAGAAGGACTATAGATGGTGATGGCATAGGAGTGATTAGACGATCTTGGGCACTGCTATTTTTTGTGTCATGGGTGCCAATTTCTAGGAAAGACAATCTATCAGCTGTAAGAAGAACAAGCTTACTATATTTCACCCAAACCCTCCAGGTAGAAGAACGAGAACGAAATTTGAGGGCTGGATGAATGATCGGTTAAAAAAAAGGTTGCGACCCACTCAAGTAGGTCCTGGTTACCCAGAAAACCTTCTATTATACCAAATGACCGTTTTGGAAGAATGACAAATTGTTTCGCCTTGATGAGTTCAAGACTAGTTTCGTATGGGAAAAGTACTGAAACATTAACAAGCAGTTTAATTTTAAGTTTTTCCTTTGGAAAAAGTAGACTTACATTAGGACAATCACTTCAAAATGAACCTATAATTTATACGTATAATGAAAACATTAACACTAACAGGGCAAAAAATTAACAAAATTAGAATGCTTTCCCAGTAAAACAGAGCGAAACCTCATTCGTATGAGTTTTGGGCAATATATCTGGGAATCAACTGAAGCAGCTAAATAAAACCCACTCCGTTCAGCGGTCGGATCCGAACGAGCCAGCAGCTGCCCATACAATGTGCTGCGCATAACAGCATTCATGCCCATTTTTTGGTAAAAAACGTAATACATGGAAGGCTATGCAGCCAAGTTTTCCTAGTTGAAAGCTCATATAATATTGGGCACACAAGAACAACAGTATGAAAGCCTCAGTACTAGAATTGTGCATAATCCAGAGCTAATCAGTAGGATGAGGCTTTCTAAAAAGTGTGCAACAATTTTTTCGCTCCGTTTGTTGATCATGAGCCCATTGCACATTTTTGGCATCGATTCCAGATCAGCTTATCCAACTAGAAAGTTCTAGTGATTCCATTTGGAACTCGCCTACGTACTCGACTTCCTCTTAAAATCGTCGTTACGATTGATTGCATGTCTGGCTCATGCAACAACTCAGTCGACGGCCGACAGAAGCAACACAAGCGCTTTTGGCTGTTCAGAAGCAAATCGACCAACCCTGGAGGGGAGGAAAGTTCGCCTGATGTGATTGAGATTCGACCCCGGAACATGGGAGTGTGATATGGAGTGTACCACTTGGCAGTGCACCCTTCCGCTCAGGTCAAAGTCAATGTATTACAAAATAAAAAGAAGTGGAAGCAATAGAGCATGATCCGGCCTGATTTTAAGATCAAGTAGGATGTAGAACAAAGGCTATATACCTTGAAAGATGCGAATATACAATTCAAGCAAACACCATAACCATAACGCTCGCTCGAATATTCCATACCCGGGCGTCCGATTAACTAACCCTAGGCGTTTCAGTGAAAATGAAGAATCTGCTGGCATTCATAATACATTGAATATGCCGAATTCGCATACATATTATTATATATGTTCACGACTCTAGACAAATATTGCAATTATGGAAGAATTTTGATAAAATCTGCGGTTGTGTGGCACAAAGTCCTGGTCGAAGGGAGCTGGTTAATAGAAACAGTTATTTCACATGGTACCCAGGGATAATCCCCTAGTTTAGCGGAGCCAATTAGCTGAAACAGTGGATATTCCCCACAGTTCACGTCATAATGCGTTAGGTTGGAATAACCCACGCATGATCAGAAGATGAGATCTCGAGTTGAAACATATCCGGATCAATAAAAACTCATTGGTTAATGGGCAAAAACTCTGTTTGGAAACAGAAATCTGCTGGTTACTGTATTGGTGGCAGCAAACCATCTACAGACCAGTTAATATTCAGAATGCAACTGAGGTCCAGAGTGAAAAAGGATTGCAACGCAGTGCATTCCAAAATAGGGTAATTTAACGGTGAGGTGTACTAGCGTTCCAATTTTGACTGCTGCTATGCTTTCAGAGTATTTCAATTTTGTAAAAATTTCCAATTTCGGATGCTATACCAAAATGTGCACCAGACTCCTGAGTACCTGTGAATCAGATCCTTATAAAGAGAAGTTTCCAGCGAAAAAAAGTGTACACCTTGGAAATGTATTTCAAATATCACATTAAAACAGCTAACGATTGGAAAAGAAAATAATTAATCTTCCGTACGCCGCACAGACAGGCGAAAAATAGCGCTTTGACAATGAGAAGAATGAGAAATATATAGTGACAAGCTCTTTGTTCAGGAAATGTGAACCCGATGTGAAAATTGTGTCAACCAAAAATGCTCCAGGACACTTGAAACCTTGATGAGGAGGGGAGAGGAAGTAAATGACGCTATCAAATCCAGTGGATTTTGCAATGCAGGATTATGAACTGTGTCATAATGCCTCACAACCAGGAACATCAGGTCGAACAGTGCCCACCCCGACCGTTCGGAAGAAAAAAATGCAGATCGACTTTTTTTCGAACAAAATTCTGCTTTATCCAATACGTCCTATTAGGTCATCCATCGGGACCAGCTTAAGATCAAATCAATATGTATCCAAACCGCTTTTGAATACGAATTCCATACTTTTTTCTTTTGAGATACAGCCCAGAACTTTCCCACTTCCCCTTCGAAGTGATACATCTTGAAGAAAACTTGTATCAGAAGGTCCAATCTCATGTCATACTCTTCTAAGTTCTAGTAATTTTTTAAAATACAAATCAATAACTATTTAATATTTCTCCATAGAGGTTTTGTTTACGGGATCTTCTGCTCCGTGTCAGGCAAAAATCCACTGAACCAAAGCAAGGTGAGTGTTCTATTCCATATGAATCAGAGACAATTCCCTTTTAATTGACACCTATGGCTGAAAGAAGAGATATTATCTCACATTGAAACGCAACTGACCGCTCCCGGGCTTCATTGACCGAGCCTTCACTCAAAATTGTGCTTGTTAAACGTCAAATATAATCTCCAGGGAAGGTTTCCACCTATCCATGCTTCTTTTCCAAATTCAGCTGCTTCACTGATAGCCACAACAAAAGTATCGTGAAATTCTGTTACTCTAGTGAATCTTACTTATGCAGTTGTCCCAACGCGATACAATATCCTACTAACAGGCGATTTTTGGTCCATCCAATTTATCTTTGGGATCATTCATGAACTCATGGGCAAGGACCGCTCATGATTGCAAGAGAAGACTATCACTAATTAAGCCATCCTTCTCAAAACCCACAATGAAATGGATCGCTTTGAATTTCTCCTTACTTTCTCGCAGGTACATATAACGGAAGGTTCGAGCCCTGTAAATCTAAATACAACGCATGTTCCTCGTCCCGATAATTATGTATGTGGATACCCCGTACGGGATTTCTACCAAGTCGCAGGAAAAACACAGCGATTACAATTTTTGAACAAAAACAAAAAATTGATCCTTCTAAGTGAGCTAAAGTGGCGAAAAACATTTTCAGACGTCATTTCACATCACGACATATGCGCGCTGATTGTGTCGTATACTACCATAACATCACGAAGAAGTTGTTTTGCTGTTTTTATGAATGTGCACAGCTCGGAGAGCAGCTTGACAAATAAGAGCATTTTCGAAACTGCTAGGCAGATACCATTGGTGGACTGATTGTTGCGCAGGAGGAATCAACCAACCAGAGTGATGAGCAGTCTTAGAGAACTCTCCTTGAACCCTCAGGATAAGCATACAATAACTAATCGGAGTAGGGATTCTGTCTACCTAACTGGTGAAGAGACAAATAGAAGCAATCGCTTCTGAAGGCCAAACTAAGAATTGTCCACTAAAAAGACAAGCCCCCATACTTCAGTAGACGATTTGCATGGGAGAATGTGGACTATAGTTTCAAGACTAATAGACTGATTCCACGTTCGCGAATATTAATTAGGCATCTGATCCCGTTTGGGATCTCGAAGAGAATCCGTACAATAAACAGCTCACCCTGAAGGAAAGAACAATGGCAACTAGCTGATCTGGAAATGAGTTCTTTTCGAATCGATGCTTTTCGCCTCAGTTCGTTAAGCAAAAGCCACCATAGCCTTCTTGCGTTATGTGCCGAACTTGAGGCTTATACGAGACTCAAACCCGTGCTTACGCTTTTCGGGCACCGAGGTTTGTTCTTTACACAACAGAGACTGTGTTTATACTTGTGAGCGTCGTTAATCTGGAGGTGAAATGTGATTAAGAGTGTAGGGATACAATTGTCTGTGCTCCCTATTCTTCTCCTCGTCAAAGGAATCCTTAATCAGAGCCTGCCCAAACATTCGAGTTTTGTGGATACAGAATTTGTCAGGACAATTCGCAAGCAGCCAGGCAATCAGATCGCACTGAATCGTGGCCGTAACAGTTCTTCTCGATTTTTGGGACAACTGGAACACATCACTTAGATCCTCATCAAGATTCCCTCTTTTTCTTCGGGCTTGACTAGCAGCCTATTTCCACTCGGGAACGTAGCTTCATTTTGACGTTCGCTCCCGAAGGCTCTGTCCCCGGCTCTAAAGAGATGGCAGCATTGCTAG